TCTGTTTATGTGGTGTTGAGGAAGTGAACCCAGGGCCTTATGCATGCAAGGCAAGCACACTACTTGACTTTAAAATATACATACAAAGAAGGAGTATGATAGTAACACCTGTGGCCATGCCTGTAATCCTAGCTACTCAGAAGGCTAAGTCCTAAAGAACTGAAGTTCAAATTCAGCCTGGGTACAGAAGTTTGAGGGACTCTCTCTCCAGTTAACCTGTCAAAATGAGACATGGCTCAAGTTCCATCTGTAAGCAGAAAGCCAAGGGAGAATGAGAGGCCCTGGGTTGAGGTCCCAGTACTGTCACACAAAAAGCCCAGGAACTGAAAAACAAAATAGCATGGTATTGACCCAGAGACAGACTTCACAGATCAATGGAACAGAATAGGAAAATCTGAAGTAAATCCAGGTATCTACAGCCAACTGATTTTTGACAAAAGCACTAAGTTCACATACTGGAGAAAGGATACTCTTTTCAATAACTAGTTCTGAGAGAAATGTACAACAAGCAGAAGATGAAATTAGACTTTTGTGTTTCCCCAGGTAGAAAAATCAACTCAAAAAGTTTAAAGCCTTAGAGGTTACCCCAAACCATGAAACTATTAGAGGAAAACAGGAGAAATGCTTTAGGACATAGTAATGGGCAATAATGTTTTTGGATAAGACCCCAAACACTGGAAACAAAAACAAAAACAGACAAATGGTACTACAGCAGTTTAGAAAGCTTTTATACAGCCAAAGAAATGTCTTTTTTTGGACATCTGCTTACTTCTTCAGTAATAGATTTAACTTCCTTTTTTTTTTTTGTTGGTCATGGGGCTTGAACTCTGGGCTGGGCGCTGTCCCTCAGCTCTTCAGCTCAAGGTGAGTGCTCTACTACTTGAGCCACAATGCCACTTCCGGTTTTCTGGTGGTTTATTGGAGATAGGAGTCTCATGGTCTTTCCTGCCTGGGCTTCCTTTGAACCATGATCCTCAAATCTCAGCCTCCTAAGTAGCTAGGATTACAGGCGTGAGCCACCAGCACCCGGCTTAACTTCCTTCTTAAAAACTTAAAACACTCATTTTTATATCACATCCATATATATATATTTTGGGTCCGGTCGTGGGCCTGAACTCTGGGCCTGGGCGCTGTCCCTCAGCTCTTCAGCTCAAGGCTAGTACTCTACCACTTCAGCCACAACTCCACTTCCGGCTTTTTTCATTTTGCTTATGTGGTACTGAGGAATCGAACCCAGGGCCTCAAGTATGCAAGGCAAGTGCTCTACCACTGAGCCACCTTCCCAGCCCCACATCCATATTTTTATATGATTAACAATTGAACTATTGAAGATTAAAAGGGCATAGGTTTGGATTGACTACTGAAGCTGTAATAATTGGTGCACACTATATACTCAGTGTCATAGGGTTCTGAGAATGATAGATTTTGAATTATTAATTTACTTTATTATTTTAGAGGTGATGTACAGAGGGCTTACTATCACATGAGTCAGATAATGAGTCATTTCCTTTCATACAGTGTCTTCTGTTCCCACATTTTCTCCAGTTCCTCCCTCTCATCGCCACTCACAAGTTATGTAGTTCACTTTTCATCAGTGTCCAGTGAGTTCCCTTGCTGAACTTTTTTTTTTACCCTTTTTCCCTTGAGTTCTGCAGTCCCCCAAACCCTTCCAAAGATGTACACTTGAACACACCACATATAAGGTAATGAAGACAGAATCATCAAAACTAAAACTAAAAATAAAAAAATAAAAAAATAAAAAAAATAAAAATAAAGGTCTCTTGTTTCCATATTTTAGAGTTCATTTCAGTATTATTTTATGTAAATATGAAGAGGCACTGGACTTAGGCATTGCACCTTTGTGTTTCTCTCTTAATAGTCTCCTCTTTGGTCTGAGAATGATAAATTATAAAAAAATCATCACTTCATTAAAATGAATAATAGTTTTTGTCACCACTTGTTAAAATGCTAACTTGTTATATTTAAATTTGTAAAGAAAAGCTTAAGAATAGTAAACATTTTGGACTAGAGTATGTAAGGATAATTATTCATAACTTTCTTTTGGAACAAATGATGTATTTCTGTCTATGTATCTATGTGTAATCCAACCTCTCTCTGAATAAATATATGTATTCTTTTATATAATTTATATCTACTATGCAAATTCAGGTGAGTTATACGTTGTAAAAACATAGACTAATCAAAAAGTAAAAACAAACAAAAATTATATGAAGTAAATTTTTTGAGCACCTCATAGCAGGTCGAGTGGAAAAAGCCCAGAGTTCAATACCCAATACTGGCACCAAACCAAACCAGCCCCCCAAACAAACAAAAAACTAATAGTGGTCACATGTATATAGGATAAATATATATACTTTTTTTTGGTCATGGAGCTTGAACTCTGGGCCTGGGCGCTGTCCCTCAAGCTCTTCAGCTCAAGGCAAGCTTGAGCTACAGCGCCACTTCCGGTTTTCTGGTGGTTTATTGGAGATAGGAGTCTCACGGACTTTCCTGCCTGGGCTGGCTTTGAACCGCGATCCTCAGATCTCAGCCTCCTGAGTAACTAGGATTACAAGCGTGAGCCACTGGTGCCCAGCTAGTTCTGTTAAATTTGATTCAGGAAAATTGGACTTTGTAGAAATAATATCCCTCAAAAGAAGCATACTGAAGCCTACTTCCAGGTCTGTGGAGTCTGTAAAAAAAAAAAGAAATCCTTCCAGCTGGGCACTGGGCTATTCCAGCTGGGTATTCAGGAAGCTGAGCTCTGAGGATTATAGTTTGAAGCCAGCCCAAGTGGATAAGTCTGAAACTTTATTTCCAATTAACCACCCCAAAACTGCAAGTGTCATTGTAGCTCAAGTGGTAGCGTGCTAGCCTCGGACAAAAAAAGAGTACCAGGACAGCACCCAGGCCCTCAGTTCAAGCTTCATGACCACGCTATGACTATCAACAAATTGTAGGTCAGATTTATGCTTTTCATATGATTTTTTTTTCTCTGTGAGAAGAGCTCTCTTTTCAACTAAAGTGGATTACTTTCTGTGAAACTTGTGAGAATTGTTTTTCTGAAAAGTTCCTGGTTTAGCCTTGGTTGATTGTATTTTATAGTTATTTTCTTTTTCTGCTACACTTAAAACATCTTGCTATTGAATATCAGTTATGTCCTGTTCTTGTTAATTAAGAAATCCCGATCCTCGCGGTTCAAAGCCAGCCCCGGCAGGAGAGACCGTGAGACTCTTTATCTCCAATAAACCACGAGAAAACCGGAAGTGGCGCTGTAGCTCAAGTGGTAGAGCGCTTGTCTTGAGCTGAAGAGCTGAGAGACAGCGCCCAGGCCCAGAGTTCAAGCCCCACGACCGACAAAAAAAAAAAAGAAATCCCGATCCTGTTAATTAAGCCACATCCTGTTGCAGATTGTGAACCTGTCCTTAGCCAATCCAAGCAGAAGGGCAGGGCCTGCTGAGTTAGGGATAAAAGAGGAGCAGCTTGCTTCCTCTGTGTGTGTTTGCAACGGGGATTTTGGCTGGTGGGTGTGCCAGGCACAAGTAAACATTGCTTGTGGAGTTCCTTTTGAATTGGTCAACTTACTGCTATACTACACCCCAACATCTCCAGGCATATCTAACATCTTGGATTTTTATTCTTCTCTTTTATGGGACCCATCAAATTAGTTGAATATTGAACTCTCTGGACTTATCCATAAATTACCTATCTTTCCTATTTTTTCAACATATATTTTTTCATGTTCTGTGGTATTTTTAAGGTTTTATTTTTAATTCTTTTGATCTTTTTTTCTATGTATCTTTTCCTGTTTTTAATTCCTGATTTTGTTTGTGTTGTTTGTTTGTTTTTCCCAGCTTGCTGGTTTTGTTTATATGTTTGAGGATATAATTGAGATACTATAAATTCACTATTTTGAAGTATACAATTCAGTAGTTTTTAGTATATTCAAAGTTGTACAACCACAGACTTTTATTTCCAAACATTTTTGTTATCCCAAGAAAACCTCTTACATCCATTTCCTATTCACATTGTTTAATTTATTTTGTGATTTATATTCTCATTATTTTGTGATATATATTCTCATGATCTAATTGGATAATTGAAATTTAGAAATTTTATGTTCATAAATTAAGTGGGTGTATAACTTAACAGTGACTGAATTAGTACTAGTGCATTGGGTATTTGAAGCAAAGAAACTTGTAATGTCAGATAGTAGTATTTGTAAATACTTTGTAAAAGTGATACTTTTCCAACTACAGTGTTTGATGAGAGAATTATATTTTGGAATCATTTTCCTAGATTCTGATACCTATGGTTGGCTAGGAATTCATGAAAGCACGTATAAAACATATATGTGTATGTCCATGAATAAAAATGTGCTGGTGGGGAAGAGCGATCTTGTATAGACTTGAAATGAGAGTGATTATTCTAGATTTAGTTATTGCAGAAAATATCTGTGATATGTATGTTAATTTTATGACTGACCTTCCAAGTTTTGACTTTATTTGGAAAAGGAGATAGTTTTAAATAGAAGAAAACTTTTAGTTATATTTCTTGCAACAATACAGCAAATTTGAACTTTTTGAATATTGAGAAGGAAATGAAACACAGCCATCTAGTGGATACAATTTTAAGAGCTATAAGCATATAATTTAAGTACCCTGATCTCACATAAATATCTCTCATGGGTCATTATTAGTAATTCAAGCTAATCATTCCACATTACACAGAGGGACTGTATCCATTGCATTACTAAATACGATGAAGTTTTAACGAGAGAGGAAAACATTATATGTGACAGTTGAATAATAGCTTTATGTAAATACCCATAGAGGTCAATTAAACTAACACAATATTCTGGTATGCCATTTATATCTTCAGTTTTAGTCATATGTAGAGCTTCTTTTCCCAAGTAAATTAACCTATTACAGTTGATCACAGATTTAATCATTGATGGCTATTAATAAATTTTATTGATGCAAAAATAAATTGTGTTTCAGGAACAAGATTGTGCTGTACAAACTATGCAGAAGAAAGTAGAACAATTAGAAGCAGAACATACAGATTGCTCTGACCTTTTACAGCGACAAACAAGTGAACTTGAGTTTAGCACTCAGTGGGAAGAATGTCTTAGAAAAGAATTTGAGGTAGTTTTATTTTATTTTTAGCATACATATATTTATCATGTAGTGACTTAAGCCTAGAGAAAATTTTACACTGCAGTTATTGTTGGGAGGCTTTTAAATTGTATATTTGGCTTTTTTGGTATTTGAACAAAGCATTTTACATTTTGTGCCTGATTTAAACAACATTTTTTTGGGGGGGATGGGCAGGAAGTATATTTGAGAATGAATTCAGGACCTCATACGTGCTAGGCTGGATGCTCTATTGTTGAGCTATACCTCCAGCCAGTCTTTTTGAACTAGTTATTTTTGAGATACAGTCTTGCTTTCTGCCCCGGCTATGATCTGCTTATTTTAGGTTTCTCAGCAGAGCTGGGATGATAGGTGTTCACCACTGTGCCCAGCTCTCAGTTGTAAAGAGGTCTTTCAAATGTTTTTCCCCGGGCTGACCTTCTGTCTTGGCTGCATGTGCACTTCTCAATGTCAGCTGCTTAGGCAGCTGGGATTACAGGCATGAGCCACTAGTGCCTGGTTAAAAATTTCACCTTTTTTTTTTTTTCAGGTCCTGGGGCTTAAACTCTGGCCTGGGTGCTATTCCTGAGCTTTTTTTTTGCTTAAGGCTAACACTCTACCACACTTCTGGCTTTTTCTGTGATTAACTGGAGATACGAATTTCAAAGACTTTTGTGGACTGGCTTTGAATCATGGTCCTCAGATCTCAGCCTCCTGAGTAGCCCGAATTACAGGCGTGAGCCACTAGCACCGAATAGAAATTTCACTTTTAACGATTAATTCTCATACAATATGTGGGAAGCTTGAGAGTAATTGTTTATATTTTAAGGTTGAGGAAGCAACACAGTAAAAGTTTTGGTATACTCAGGGGTTAAATGATAAAATTAAATTCTATTTTTATAGTGTAAATCATTTATATTAGCAGGGTTTGTAGAAAGATTTTAGATAAGACTTTAGATAAGAAAAGAACATTAGTCTACAAAGAAAAATATGACTTTATGAATGGTGATGCTAACTAATTTTGAGAGATCTAATTGGTATATATTTTTGTCTTTTTTTAAAACTTCTTTTACTTTCTGGGGAATGAAGTATTTCAATAGGTAAAGAAAGTTTTCTCCTAAATTTAATATTCTTACTAGGTAAGTAAACATAAGGAATATGTAATAACAGATACTAGAGATATATTTGTTAAATTCACTGCAATTATTTAATATTGTTATGAGGTTTTTCCTCTGTGTGTGTGTGTGTGTCCTGGGACTTGAAATGAGGGCCTGGGTGCTGTCCCCAAGCTGTTTTGCCCAAGGCTAGTGCTCTATCATTAGACAGTTAAGTAACACCTCCACTTGCAGCTTTTTATTTCTCTTTTGTACTTATTTTTTAGATCCCATAGTACTTTTATTTTAAAGGAATACATGGTCTGGTTTCGAAAGAAAGGGAGTTTGGGATCTCAACCTTACATAATCTTGCATATCTAATCACATATTTTTCACAATATTGGGATAGATATAACTTGGCTAAATAAAGAATTTTATTTTAAAATCCATCTGTCTTGTAACTTGAAGAAGGCCTTGCCTTAGTGGTTTTATGGTCTGCTATTGCTGATGAGAGGCCTAATACTGTACTTACTGTGTTCTTCATTCATCTCCAGATTTCCTGGTCCTTTTTTTTTAATTAAATTTTAATTATAGAAAATGTTAAGTACATATAAAGTACTATAATGGATTTAGTAGTATTCATATGGGTTTCAACTGCTATGTGTGTACAGTGTGGTATCATTTCTACTCTGACTCACTTATCTTTGTCCCACCTAATATAGAAAAACTCCCCAGATATTATATAATTTTAACTGTGAATATTTAAAAAATAATGTATTTATTTAGAAGCCATATTAGTTTCACAGGCAAGTATAATCAAAAGTGCAGGCATTATTCAAATTATAATTTTTTATAAATGGCATAAATATGTGTATGCTTATAGTGTGAAACTAAATCTCATTTAGGTCTATACCTATACATTGTAATTGATGTGTAGGATTTGTTGGTTAATTGAGTTGAGTAGAGGAGACTGTGAAAGACGTTTAAGAAATGGCATTCTCATTAACAGAACTGGTGAAGAATATAGGTAGAGTATGTTTGAAAGGAGTCAGGTTTTAGATACTTCAAATTTGACATGCCTACTGGACATCCAGTTGGAAAAGTGGTCATGTATTATATGCATGTAAATATATCCACATTTGCATATATAAGCATATGTAAATCCATATATATGTACATACCTTTACACATATATAAATACATACACTACTCATACACATGAATATTGTGTTTAAGGAAACAATATTATAATATTTCCTTTGAAAAGTTTGAGATACGTCTTTTTACTTTCTTTTTGTAAAGAGTGATCTACATATTTCTGGTTTGGTTGTTGAAAAATAGGAAAAGAAAATGGAGCCTGGTTATTATACTGTTTTATTTATTTATTTATTTGATTATTTATTTATTTTTGTGCTAGTACTAAAGCTTGAACTGATGGTCTTATCTTTTTCACTCAGGGCTGTTGCTCTACTGCTTGAGGCTCAGCTTCAGTTTTGTCTTTTTGGTGCTTAGTTGGAGATAAAAGTCTCATAAACTTTTCTGCCCAGGCTGGCTTTGAAACTTTATCCTCAGACCTGAGCTTCCTGGGTAGCTAGGATGACAAGCAAGTGTGAGCCACTGGCACCCAGATGATTCATGCACTTTACTGTAGTTTTGGATCTCCTTTCCCATGATCTTTGCTGTGCATTTCTATGTCCAGCCTCCTCTGGTTTTGGATTTATTTTCTAGATAATAATCCAGTTTGTGTTAGTTTTGGAGGGATAGTTATTTGGCTACTTATGAGAATAGTTATCTGTAAGTTTGACTTACAATATTTTTTTTTTCTTTTTGCTTACGTGGTGCTGAGGAATTGAACCCAGGGCCTCATGCATGCAAGGCAAGCGCTCTACCATTGAGCCACCTTCCCAGCCCTGACTTATAATATTGACAGCTGAAAATTATTGAGATTTATTTTGCATATTGTCAACTTGACTATTCAGAATGTACAACTCACGGACTTTTAGTATAGTCAGAGCATTGTACAACCTCATCACCATCAAGTTTAGAAAGTTTTCCCTGTTCCAGTAAAATATCTCATATTATTCAACATCATTGTCTTGTCCTATTACTATACCCCCGGATCAGTAAGCATGATGAATTGTTTTCCTAACAGACTTGTGTATTCTGATTTTTTCATTTAGCATAACAATTACTTGGTTCATTCATGCTGTAGTATCACAATACCATTTTTTGTTATGGCTGAATAATAAATTATTATAAGTAATTATTTTAAGTAGTTCTAATATTTTTTTGGGTCAGTCATGGGTGCTGAACTCTGGGCCTGGGCGCTGTCCCTCAGCTCTTCAGCTCAAGGCTAGCGTTCTACCACTTGACCCATGGCACCACTTCTGCTTATGTAGTGCTGAGGAATCGAACCCAGGACTTCATTCATGTGAGGCAAGTATTCTACCACTGAGCCAACTTCCCAGCCTAGTAGTTTATTTTTATTTGTTGGCTTTTCTTGGTTATTTAGTAAACACTTTTCATAGTATAATATCTTTGTTTTTGGAGCTCAAAGCTTAAAAAGATAGTCCAGATAGTCTCTTTTTATTCTCGTTTAAGGAAGTGGGCGGATGTAATTTTCTAGTTTATCTATAATTCTTTATATTTATTTATATTTAAATATTTGCCTTATGCATATATGAATATATTTTGTGTTAATCTGTTTGAACATATGGTGACACATTGGTGAAGAAGTTAACTTTCTAAAACATATTTTATTCTAGTTTTGCATTCAGTTTTGGAGGCATAAAAGTAATTCTAGTGATTTAAGTAATTGCAAGTGGCATTTAAAAGGAATTGCATGCTGGGAGAGAGCAAGGGAAAAGAGTGACAGTGTCCAAAAAAAAAAAAATTGTACTCATTACCTGACTTATGTAACTGTAACCTCTCTGTATATCACCATTATTATAACAATTGAAAATAATCACATGAAAATAATGTAAAGGAAAATTGTTAAAATGTTTAATAGGACACCTTTTTAAATTTTTGTTGGTCATGGGACTTGAACTCTGGGCCTGGGCACTGTCCCTCAGCTCTTTAGCTCAAGCCTGGCGCTCTACCACTTGAGCCACAGCACCACTTCTGGCTTTTTCTGTTTATGTGGAGCTGAGGAATGGAACCCAGGGTCTCATGAATGCGAGGCAAGCACTCTACCACTGAGCTACCTTCCCAGCCTAGTAGGACACATTTTAAATAATATCTAACTGAAGCAACTAATAGAATGGATTTTTAGCCTAATAAATGGCTTAAATTTTAATGAAGCTTTTTAAAAAATAATTTTATTTTACAGAAGGTGATTATTTGCCTTGGCCAAATAAATCTTCATATGTATATTTAATTTAAAAATCTGATAAGCTATATACCATTGTGTGGCTTAGTCATAGTAACATGGATCAATGGTTTCTTAGATTAAAAAAAAAGAAACAAACTCCCAGTCCAATTTTATATATGTGGTGCTGGATACTACAGAATCAAGGGAAAAGTGAACTAGGAAAAGAAATATCTATGTTTTTTATAAACCTCTTTACAACTAGTGGAGTTTATTATCATGGGAAATAAGCTTAACTCAATAAGAAAAGAGAAAAGAGAAGATGCAAACCTAATTCTGAAAGAACTGAGAAGGCTCTTGAAGATTATGGTGGGAAAAGACAGTCTTTGCAAATCAATTCTAAATTGCTCTGTCAGTCATAGCTATATTACAGTAACATAAAGAAGAGCAGAAGGTACTTTTTTCAGTTATTTTATTAGCACACATTAGTTGTACAAAACAGGGTTTCATGACATTTCCATACATGTATATAGTGTATCCCTATTGAATTTACCCCATCAGGGTTTCTATCCTCTCCCCCTTTCAAAACAATTTCAACACATTTCATT